AATAACATTCATACAAACAGTATACAGTTCCAATCTGATAGGACTACAGTACTTTCAATTGATTCCTGTTTCTATCTATGACCTATAATATGGCCAGAATTGCCTGATCATTATCCCTCATGTAGTGACAAGGCTTCATCCTGATTTGCAGTAGCAGCCTCAAGTTTAATTCCACCACTCAATGTTTCACATCTTACTAATTTCTCAATGGTGTTTGCTCTAAAAGTACTTAATATATTATTGTCTTTTTACAAAAAAAAATACATGGGAGAACATGACTTCAACCAGGAAGCACTTCCTTAATTCTTGACTTCAGGTTTCAGGCGTTGCAGAATGAGCATTTGCTTTGGCTGTGGTTCATCAACTTCCATTCACTTGATTCTGTGGTCTGTGAAAATTAATTAAACAAACTAATTCAAAGAGCTTATCAATGCTACTGTGATGGTTTTAATGATCAAATATGTGTTTAAATTTAAAGGTTGTTTTCCAAAAAACAAAAAAAAAAAAGAAAAGAAAAATAAGTAGTATCAGTATAATACAATATTAAATGCAGGTGGTGATGTTTAATTGGACATCAGAGTGTTGATAAATATTATTTGCTTAAAGTCAGTTTTGATACCTATTAATTAATATATTTTTTATGTTGTGTCTATGGATTCCTATGTAGATAAAGCATACTGTACTATTAATATAATAATCTTGTTAATTTATATTCTTTTCATGAAGACATTAAAATCAAATTAAGCAGTCACTGAAGGGCACATCTCCCACCCCAAAAAACTGAATTGATTCAATTTGTGTAGTAATTGTTCTTGGTAGACAGTAGTAAATAGTTGCTATATAATTGTGGATGGCTATTCTTGATTTGTCTTCATGGTCAGTTGTTTATGCTGGGTCGATTCATTGCCAACATTATTGTCTCAATATGCTTATTACAATATAACATCATCGTATTTGATTCACAATACTCTGTGGTTATTTTGCTGTCGATAGTACCCCAGTTTGAGGAAAAGGCAGGGCTTCCTCTCTGTGTGTGTGGTGTGATAGAGAGACGCTTAGTGCTTCTCTTAAGTAAAACATACCATACCATTTTTAACGTTATATGTAACCACACACGTACCTTTAAACAGATTCGGTGCAATTTTGACTACTACTTGCACCACCATCCCTGAGATCCCCTTCGTTATATATGTAGGCTATTCATCAGCTTCGACGGAAACTTAATAGGCCTTACTGAGGACTCGTATTTATTGTTTTCCACAGAGTTGCACATCCTTAAATTTCTTTTAAGCTGTTTACGCTTAATGACACAACCATACTCTAGGTTCTTACAACATGTATCACAAAATATGCCTGAAACCGGCTCAGATTTATCATTTGAAGAACTTCTGGCCAACGCCATACTTGCAAGTGGAGTGTGTTGTTTACTATTTACATTGGACAAACGGCATAGAAGGTAGTTTGTGATTGGCTGAGGGCCTTTCGGCTAAGCCAGACTTCATTGTTAGTCGTCTTCTGATTGGCTATAGTTACGTAGCAACTTTTGATATAAATTCTCATTTTTGGTTACAGTTTCTCCAAATTCACGATTGCTGCCAATCAAATTATGTTACAATTTAATAGTATTGACATTTTTGTGCAAAAGCCAGGTAGCCCGGATTGGTGGGTCACAGAATTGAACGTTTTCGATCCTCAACCCACGGTCTATGGGTAAAGATGTTGGAGGAAATACAAAATAACATTACACAATGCAAAATGCTGTTTTTGCTTCATTTATTGAAACCGTGTATTAGTCGCCATTTGCTAAAATAAAATAAAAGCAAATAACAGATTGGCAGATCACAGTTAACCATGTAGTATCATCTTACATACATTACAATATTTCATAGTGAATGATTTAACTTTTAATTGCCTTGCAACCGACGTAAACTTTGGTGAATGCCTGTGAGTTTAGGGCTATTAGCCCTCTAGCTAATATTATTGCAGTTATTTATTTTTGAATTGTGATATGTTGATAGTTTATTGATTTATCATAATCCAGAAAAAAACATGTTTTGATTGATGGAAGTTAAAACAGAATTAGTTATGTTGTTTCTTGTGCAGTATATTATCCTCATATTATTTACATAATTTTATGTCTTCACAGTTGTTTCTGTTGATGTTGCTGCAATAAGTAAGTACCAATTTAGCATCATTAAAAATGTAACTTTGTTTCACTTTTATTGTTATTAGACCAACATATAATACACGGCGGTTTCATACGCACTATATTGGGACAATAAGTGTTTTCAACGCGCCTTTCATATATTTACGCACCGCAAGCCTCGAACGAACACACTCATGTCGCGATTGGGATCGTGCGAGCCTAGCGGAACTGCATTTTTTGGTACATAGTAGAATTGTGCTAAAAATAATATATGAGTATAATATCCCCCCATCCATGTTCTGTTTGTCTAATTATTATATCAGCTACTAAACAAAATTTTTGCAATGCATGAATTTATATAAAATCATGAATTTTAACGAGAAAAGTAAGGCCAGTCTACAGTAAAAATGTAAACAAACAACGCCCTAACTCCGTAAATGTTAATATCGCTAAACATGGTCGTAATTATCGTCGTACAAAATTGTGCAATTTTTCTGGATGTTATCGTTGGTCGCCAATGAACAATCAGTGTCTGTTCTTGTATTCTGTGAAATATTGGCCTGACAACTTATTCCGATTTAAAAAAAAAATCGATTGAAAACAGCAAATATTTTGGCTTTACTAGGCGTTCTTGAAAACTCCACGGGCTCATACGCGCAATTTTACGCGTTGGTTATACATGCGCTAGACCTAGATTGAGGCCTAGATTTTATTGGGGTTTTGGATAGGCTTTGCTGCATTAATGTTGTTAAATGTTAAAATTATAATTGTATTATATATATATTTTTTTTATTCAGCTAATATATAATAAATACAGGCTTGCATTGAACATTTTATATTTTGATGGCAATAATTAGGATGGCTCTAAAATAAAGAAAATTAAAAATATAAATAAATGTAAACAATGATCCAATATTCATCTGTGAAAATAGACAGTATCATTTACAATCATCATTCTTCTTATTACACTTCAGTTTACAAATAGACACAAACATTATGTTCTACATGTTATATTTTTAATGAACAAAATAAACCTTTAAAAATACAAGAATCCAAATTAAACCGAAAGGTCCACTGAT